AAAAAAAAAAAAAGACTCCACTTCAACCGTGTTCGTGTTTATCCGAGAAATGTCTTCCTTGTGGTTTCCTTTGTCTCAATAGTGAACTTAAGACCATACCTTTATCTTTACAGATTTACATTTTGAGAAGAATGATCACTGGTTTTGTTGAGCGACGTTGTGCAATGTGGGATTTTTAACACTCGTATTTGATATTTTTGTCCATTTGATGTTCAAGCACCGATGAAACAAAACAATAAAGTCACTCAGTAGCCGGGGATCGTTTTCCCCATCGAACGAGTGTTTTAATCAATCAATCGCCAACTACGGGATTATTTGGAGGACTGCGTTTTGCTTTTTTTTGCTTGAGTCATATTGATGGAAAGAAAGCGTGCTCTTCTTGCTCGAGTGGGTTTGGTCTGGCGTTTCATTTCTCAAATCAAAGTTCCTACCTGTCAGGTGACAGCGAAACATCGAAGTCGAACTTCTCGTCCACCAGATAAATCACATCTGTGTTGACACACCAAGCAAGCATCAGCGACGACATCGTTCCTCGTGAAAAACAAGATTCCCATTGTGAAGACCGACCGACTGACTGACCGCTGCCCGCTCGACGCTCCATCTCGCGGCTGCGTCTCCTTTCGACCTGCAGGTACAATTCCAATAAGAATCATTCCAATCGACGCGGACGTGAAACTCGCACACTCGCCAAGACGGCACGAACTCGACACTCGATGGAAGCTCGATCCGCGACACGAAAGAAGCCTCGCTCTCACCGCGTGCGTGAGCCCGTTTGGCGTTGCCTTCCTGCAAACTTCAAAGTGAGGAAGTGGAACAGGGAACTCGAGTCGAGCTAGTTGAATTTTGCCAAGAATGACGAACCTTGTTGTTTTTTGTTTCCACGACGAGGAAAAGTTCCGTTCTGCTCGCGACACAAAACAGCAATTCAAATGTGTTACGCCAGTGGTCACGTGACTCTCTCTCTCGCAGCCATTGGTCGGAAAGACGTGACGTCGACCGATAGGAATTGTGGGCTATGTAATCCATGTTGGCTTTTTAACGCGTTTCGGACGAGGGCGAGTCGTTGTTTGAATGTTCACTGTGATTCAACGAATGTTATTGTTACTATACATCTAGTTTTTTTATTCTTATGATTTTGTTCTTGAGGACAACAAATAACTCAGGCCAGACGTGGTTATTTGTTGTCAGGCCAGGTGTAGTCTTTGTTCTCGTTTCCAAACTCATTCGTGTCCTTGAGTGTTTTGAAAGGCGCTCATAAATGAAATGCATTATTATTATTATTATTATTATTATTATTATTATATTCTTGACAAGTGTAGCTCTTGATCCTTGATTCCTTGATCCCCAATACCGACAGAGCATGACCCATGTAGACCTCACACCTTTAAGCCCAAAACCCTGTAGTTCTGGACCCTGTAGCTCTGGTCAATGTAATCCTTGTTCTTGTTGACAAACTCCCATGTAAGTGCCAAGGTCCTTGCAGATGTGAGTCCTTTATCGCCAGTACCCATTTCACTTCTCCTTGTAGACCAGGACCAATTCCAAGAGGTCTGGACCCCGTCTTCCTGATCAATGTAACCCTTGCTCTTGTCGACAAATGCCATGTAACCTTCATACACTTAGCCCAGATCGTTATTGTCGCGATTTCTTGATCCCCAGCACCTTTAGGCCAGCACCTTGGTATTCGTGGTACCTGGTGACCCTAGGCCTGATCAATATACAGTAGCCCTATTTCTTGTCCACAAACACGTGATCCCTGACACCCTGATCATCGTAATAGGATTCCTTTCACGCCGATAGGCGTAGACCAGGGATCCCTGGACTTGACCGTCTTATCCCAATATCCGTAGACCTATATCCCAAGGGCCTCTAGACCAGGATCCGATAGAGCCAGTCCCCGTAACCCTTGCTCTTGTTGACAAACTTCCTGTAGCCTTGTTACATATAGCTGTTGATCCTTTCAGACGTGATTCCTTAATCTTCAATACCTGGAGACCAAGACTTTGGTATTCCTGGTCCCCATAGTTCTGATCCCTGTAGACCAGGTCCGCCTGGACCATGTAGCCCTGGTGTGTGTGTGTGTGTGTGTGTGTGTGTGTTTGAGTGTACGTGTATGCGTATGTGTGTGTTCGACTGTATAACCTACCTGTACAAAGCTGCTGTGCAAATTTCCGAGTGAGGTTAAGGGACACCCCTCTGAAGTTGGTGTTCCTCAACAGATCATACAGATTGTAGCTCAACAGCTCAAACACCAAACAAAGATGATTCCTAAACATAAAGTGACGCTTCAGGTGCACTACAAACAGAAACAGACACACGCACACAAAAACAGAAAGGGGACATGTCGTTGAGTGACATGAGAATAAGGTCAAGGAGATGCAGAATAACATTTCCTGTTTTGACATCTGTGCAGAATATCCTTCGAGTTTCAAGTGACACTTGAAGTTTCAACACTTAAAGTAGCCAGACAAAGCAGTTTTATTTCCTCACAAAATTACATTTCCTACCTGTTTTCCAATTACCAAGTGTTGTACTAATTGGACCTTTTACATTTAGCATTATCGTAAGCATGTATCAAATGGTGCAAAGACATTCACACAAGTTGACAACCCATAACTTACACACATGCGTTCCCATTAATCACTAAGTGTACATTCCAACCCACCTATGTAATATTTCATCTCGGTATCATGCTTGTTCATGAGCTCCAACAGGCGAAGTTCAATCTGTGCCTGGTTTAGAAATGCCTTTTTGTTCTTGATGATCTTGATGGCGACCCATTCCTGCTCATGGTGGTCATAGGCCTTCACCACCTGCGCACACATTGCAAACATGAGATGGGAATGGAATCAGCTTGATATACTACTCGATTATCAAATAACTGTTTATAATAAACTTTGGGAATGAACGTGTGGACTTTGTCCTGACATGTAGTGAATCACTTTGTACAGTCTATGCTATCGCAGAGGAATGGGGGAATCTCCAAAAATGTACAGCACATTAGTTAAATGGAAACTCTTAAGGTGTAGCTGTAAAATGCCTGTCTTTGTTGACGGCCCTGAGGTTGACTGGTGACGGATTGATTGATGGATGATAGATAGATTTCCGGCAACGTTCTATCATCTAACTTCTTCTCTGGTCATCATGACATTACAAGCTACAAATTTATATGTGGGAGTTTCTCCTGCCGTGGTTGGGCGGCGCCTGAGCATCGGTGTTGACTGAGGCCACAGATTGTCTAATTAGATTAAGCGAGGCTTTCGTCAGATAATCATTTAGCCCTCCTGTAGCTCCTGTTTTTGTCCTGCCATGGAGAGGAGCCCGCAGTGAGCTCGCTGAAGGTCAAATTGACTTTCCCGCCGCCGGTCAACGGGACCTCTTGGGACCATCCGCTGTGTGCATGCGTGTGTATCTGAGGAGCGGTGGCTGGGTTATGGAGAGCTGCGGGACGCGTGTGTGCGACGTCGCTCGGCATCGCTAATTCCTGCTGCTTACCCGAGGCCATGGGGGAAGTTTGTGTAAGTACCACTACCTTCAGCGCTTTCGATTGTTCGTTATCAGTGGATAATAATTGGTGTGTGTCATTGTGAAGCTGCTCAACTGTTGGCCTTATTCCAGGGGGGAAGAATTATTTTGTCCTGCACTCTACATGCTGACATTTATATTGACATAGACCGACTAGCTTACCTGAACACAGTCCATTGAAATGCTGAAGAAAAAAAAATAAATCGCCCCCATTTTATATGTGTCTATACACATCGTCAAAGAGAGGCAACATTATCAGTTGATGACTTTCTGGCCAACTCCTCGTTGCATGTGAAAGCGTTTTCAAGCTGCCCGCGGTGGAAGTGAGCAAGCGATGGCGGCAGCCGCGTCCCCGCGTCGCCGCGTGCCGTGACTTCCACCTTCCCTCCTTTTTCATTGCGCCCCTCCGTTTGTCCCGGCTCGGATTAAGGCTGACTGATTGACACAGATTACGCCGCGAGTCACAGGCGGCAACCTGACACGGATGCAAGTGTCAAAAGATGCCCGGCGTTGGAAATAGTGACGGATCTGGTGGACGGGTCCACAGAATCAACAATAGCAGATGTATCTTTGCCATTGTTCCATATTGTTCCGGAAGCTAGAGACTTCTTTGGTCTGGACAGTAACCTCTTAAAACAACATAAAATGGCCCGAGTAAATCCAGTTGCACACCTCATAAATATGTCCTGAAATCAATGTCGCGTGCCATCCGCCTGGAAGACTTCTTGGGTTACTTCAGTTCTAAAGGCTGGGCAGAAGACCAAAGTAGAAAACTACCGGCCGATCTGTATCATCGCAGTCATTTCAAAGACAGCTGAGAGATGGATTGCATCACTGCTAACTGACCATCTTAACAGTGGCTTGGAGCCACCACATCCAATGCAGTTTGGTTTTCGAAAATACCATTCAACCGAAATCGCAATTTGTTATTTTCATGAGAAGATCAAAGGTCGATTGGATCACGGTGGTGATATGGGAGCTGTGCTCCTGGACCTGAAAAGAGCTTTGGACTCACTAAATCATAATGTACTCATTTAAAAAATTTCCTACTTTAACTTCTCTGATAGTGCACTCTGCTGGATGAGATCAGACTTGTCAAATAGAAAACAGACTGTTCAGATCGGAAATTCAATGTCACCTTATCTTGGGTGCTCAACGGGGGTACCCCAAGGCTCTGTCTTGGGGCCATTTCTGTTGAGTCTCGATGTAAACGACCGACCTACAGTCTGCCCAGATGCTCATTTACAATTATGTGCTGATGACACCGTGCTATATGTTCATGCTAAATCAAAACAAGAAGCTGCAATAAAACTTTAAGCAGCTCTGGCATCAGTATCTCACTGGCTCAGTGAATGAAAATTGTTTACACCTCAACACCAAAATGTTCTTCTCTCGTAAGGCAGCAGAGGTGCAATAAACCGTCTGTAGTAGTTAATGGAGAGAGCCCTGATGTTGGAGAAAATTTTAACTATCTCGGAGTGGTCTTTGCCACAAATCTAACATTCAAAGTGCATTTAAAAAAAAATCACAAATATCATGAAATACAACCTGTCAAATTTCAATCATATAAGACCATTCCTCACCTTCACGACAACTAAAGTCTATATGCACGCAATGATATTCTCACATATAAATTATTGCTTCACAACACACACAACAGAAACTGTACTAAATCCCATCAGGTCTCTCTTCAAAGGGGCAGTTAAAATCCTAGACGGGAAACCGCACATTCTCAACCTGGATAACTCCCAGATCTTTGAGGATGCCCGTCTCATTTACAAAGTTCAAAATGCGCTTCCACCCCCACCCTTGGATAAATTCATTCAGAGGAGAAACAGTGAAGGACTGAGAACTAGCGCCTTGACGAGAGGTGATTGCAATAGAACAAGATGTAGAAAAAAATTCGGTCAAACGGTCACCTCCGTCAGAGGAACGCAATCCTGGAATAAGTTGCCAATACAGAGGAACGCAATCCTGGAATAAGTTGCCAGTACACCTTGGAGACGGTGATAACTTTCCACTTTTCCTTCGAAACCTGCCTTGGGACTACGTCTGAAAACTAGCATTTATGCTAAGTCCGGCGCATTTACACTGTTTATCTTTGTGGTGATTAATGTGCACTGTCCCCATGAAATAAATATATATAAAAAGAAGTGTATCAAGAATTTACCAGTAACCATGGTGAAATAGCCTCAGATATGGCAAGAAGTTGACTGCATGAAATAGTCATCGATGGCACCACTACTTCACATGCATGTGACGTGCACTTTCAAGTGATGACAGTGCGGCGCTCAACATACTGTAAAAAGCATGACGTGCACCGCCTGCGTGCGTTCACAGTCACAGAGTCCACGCCAGCACGCCGCCACACGCCAGGCCGAGCTCTGAGCGCGACCTCTGAGTTTGACCTCTGAGAAGGGCCGTCCGCCTGCGCCGCCAGGCGACATGGCCAACAGCTCCTTCCGCGGCGGCAAGCGCGGCCGCCGCGGCTCCGCCTACCTGGAGACCGAGTTCAGCTGCTCGCTCCAGGAGCTGCGCTCGCTCATGGAACTGCGGGGCGACGACGCCCGCGACCAGATCCGACACAGCTACGGGGACGTTGACGGACTCTGCGCCAGACTCAGAACCTCTGCCCTCGAAGGTCAGTGCCCGTGATGTGTGTGTGTGTGTGTGTGTGTGTGTGTCCTGTAGCAGGTTTTGAGCAGCAACTGTCATTGACTGTACGTGACGCATTCGAATGCGGCGCTCGCCGTAGCCCGCAGAGGTGATGAAATGAAATCAAACAGAACAGTATTTACTCATGCGATACAATGATATTATGTTGGAATACAAATCAAAGTCGTGATTTTTTTCGATTGCTACAAATCGTTTGGAGCACAGGAAATCAAATCAAATAAAACTCCGTTTAATTCAATTCAAATCCAAATCAAAGATTATTTGAATGGTACTTGTTGGCAAAATATAATCGGATGGATTAAAGGCAATGAAATAAAACCAAGTAAAATGAAATGTATTTAAATGTCAGGCTACAAGATGATGCCGAGCACGGAGCCAGCCCTGTTACGAGTTTTTACTGACATCCTCCTGGCAAATGATACTGGAGACGAGGCGTGTTTGGTTTTATTTGATCCAGTGGATCACAGTATTCTGCTGGCTCCCATTGAGCTGACTGAACATTTTGTGTTTGCCTTTGTTGCTCTAAGTCATGAACTGCCCCAGTGTGGTGTGGTATCCCACAGGGCTCAATTCTGGGGCCTCCGCCGTTCTCACTGGATCTGCTCCCTTTCCCGTTCCATCTTAAGGAAACCTGGCATTTCCTTCTGATGCTTTACGGATGACTGTCAGATCGATGTCCCTCTAAGCAAAATATTGAGGCCAATTTTATCCTGGCTGGAGGAAATCTCAAGACCTGGATGGCCCTGGATTTCCTGAATGTCAATGAAAAGACGAAGGTGTTTGGTCCTCGTGGCCCTTGTGCATCCCATCCTGCGGACTTGGGCCCCTTTTCAGAAGCCAACGGTCTTAAATTGGACAGTGATTTGAAATTGGACCGTTGAATTGCTGCCGTTGTCCAATCCGGCTTCTTTCATTTTTGGCAGCTGGCTCAAGTCAGGCCTCTACTTTCTCAAGAGCACTTTGAAACAGTCCCAAAAGACCCTCGAGGAACTCATCAGCGGCGGAGCAGCTGATATCAAATTGAATTGCTGTAATTTGCATCTCCACCTCCGACTGCAAAAAACGGCGGCCGCTCGTTGTACATGTCGAGAACGTATGCTGCGTGTCCGCTCATCTTGCATGAATCCTGCACGAGAATGTGCCTTGTGACATTTGCCTGGTTGCTGCCGTCATTAATTCATGAGCGAGAAATCTTGTACATGCTCGGTGAACACCTGCAGTCACTCGGAAATGTCAGCGACAGTTTGAAAAATCCATCCGACCCCACGTCTCACTTCCTGCCTGCGAGTGTGTGTATACAGATATATGTGTGTGTGTGTGTGTGTGTAGGTGTGTATTGTGTCAGCTGGGCGCCGGTCAATAATGGAAGAATACAAGTTACCTGTCAAACAGTGATCGTCCTGTTTGGCATTGACACATCCGTCATGGACGCAGGCCACATTTTCGGCTCTGCTGCTCATCTCACAATCAGGCTTGATTTGCAACCCGCTTATGGTCAACCAAGAATGCTCCCAAACACAAAGTTCTTGATTGAACTAACTTCCCACTCGGAAACGCCCCCTGCCCCCTGTGGCCATGCGGCGGTCTACAGCAGGTCGTGGCCCTTGTGCATCCCATCCTGCGGACTTGGGCCCCTTTTCAGAAGCCAACGGTCTTAAATTGGACAGTGATTTGAAATTGGACCGTTGAATTGCTGCCGTTGTCCTTCTTTCATTTTTGGCAGCTGGCTCAAGTCAAGCCTCTACTTTCTCAAGAGCACTTTGAAACAGTCACTCATGCCTTTGTCACATCTCGGCCGGATGACCTGTCATGCACTTGACTTTGGAGTCAGCCATCTCCATCAAGCGTTTCAAATTGGTCCCAAAAGACCCTCGAGGAACTCATCAGCGGCGGAAGCAGCTGATATCAAATTGAATTGCTGTAATTTGCATCTCCACCTCCGACTGCAAAAAACGGCGGCCGCTCGTTGTACATGTCGAGAACGTATGCTGCGTGTCCGCTCATCTTGCATGAATCCTGCACGAGAATGTGCCTTGTGACATTTGCCTGGTTGCTGCCGTCATTAATTCATGAGCGAGAAATCTTGTACATGCTCGGTGAACACCTGCAGTCACTCGGAAATGTCAGCGACAGTTTGAAAAATCCATCCGACCCCACGTCTCACTTCCTGCCTGCGAGTGTGTGCGAGTGTGTGTATACAGATATATGTGTGTGTGTAGGTGTGTATTGTGTCAGCTGGGCGCCGGTCAATAATGGAAGAATACAAGTTACCTGTCAAACAGTGATCGTCCTGTTTGGCATTGACACATCCGTCATGGACGCAGGCCACATTTTCGGCTCTGCTGCTCATCTCACAATCAGGCTTCATTTGCAACCCGCTTATGGTCAACCAAGAATGCTCCCAAACACAAAGTTCTTGATTGAACTAACTTCCCACTCGGAAACGCCCCCTGCCCCCTGTGGCCATGCGGCGGTCTACAGCAGGACTCGGGCCACCGCGTTCCAGGAGCTCCAATTTGGGGTGGGCGGGCTCCACTGCGTGAAAGGTGTCGTAACGTGCAGGTGTGCGTGTGTTGTGCGCTTTGAGGTCTGGACGCTTCGTGGGAGGACCTGGAGCGCCGGCGGCAGGCGTTTGGACCCAACGTGATCCCCCCCAAGAAGCCAAAAACCTTTGTGCAGTTAGTGTGGGAGGCGCTGCAGGACGTGACGCTCATCATCCTGGAAGTGGCCGCCATCGTTTCGCTTGGCCTTTCTTTCTACCGACCGCCGCACGCCGACAGGGACAGTGAGTTCGCTTTCCTTCTCGCCCGCCCTGAGCTGCCCTTTTTTCGGTCGTGTCTTCAAGGAGTCAAGCTGTCCCACTTACGTCAACTTAACCTGGTGGCCACTCGTCTCACGCCTCGTCATGAATGAATGTGTGTGCGCGTGCAGGTTGCGGGAGTGCGGCGGGCGACGTGGGCGACGAGGGCGAGGCGGAGACGGGCTGGATCGAGGGTGCGGCCATCCTGCTGTCGGTGGTGTGCGTGGTGCTGGTGACGGCCTTCAACGACTGGAGCAAAGAGAAACAATTCCGAGGCCTGCAGAGTCGCATCGAGCAGGAGCAAAAGTTCAGCGTGCTGCGCGCGGGGCAGCTGGCGCACGTCAAAGTGTCCGACATCGTCGTGGGAGACATCGCGCACGTCAAATATGGTCAGTCGGGCTATGATCTTGCTGAGAGCGAGTGTGCGGCTAACTAATGAACCAACTCCTAACGAACTAACTGACGCCCATTGAACAACTCACGGAAAGGAAAGTGACAGATGGACTAGTTGACCACCTAACTAGCTCCAGAGCAAACAAACTAGCCAACCAATTACCATCTAAGGACTACCGGAAAAAGACAACGGACAGACCAACCAACCAAGCATCAAACTGCTGCGCTAACTTAGTAACTTACTCAAGGACGAGGTGAATGACATGTCTACATATCATCTGACCAAACAACCAACAATCGCCCAACGGCGATCTCAGAAAAACTGGCTGACCAGTGAGCCGACTCAGCAACAGAGTGACTGACTTGCCGACCAACTGACCAATCAACCAATCACCATCTAACAAAAACGGACTGACTGACGGATCGAATAACAACCAACAACACCAACGGTGACTATCAACTGACTGACCAATGGATCAACCTCCCAACCACCCAACGAGCATCGAACAAACACGTCGCACAAGTTAACTGACTGACTGACTGCCCAGTCAACCATGTAACTTGGTGAAAACCAGCCAACAAAAGCAGACAAACTGACCGAGTGGTTGACCAACTGACTGAGGGACTGAGCGAGCGACACCTGAGCAACTTAAGAAGAACCAACTGCAGTCGTTTACTGACCGACAGTCCAAAAGACCAACCGACACACCCACCGTCCGACCCCGAGCCTAACAACTACCAACTGACCAACCGACCGCCTCGCCAACCGCCTTCCGACGACCTCCCGACCTTCCTGACAAGCGACTGACCGATGATCTCATCCTTACCCCGATAACAAAACCATCTTCCAAACATCCCCCGACCCGACCAACTGAGAGACCAGCGGACCGGCTCCACTAAGTCTTTCTCCAGGATTCTCATGATAGTTCCTGTGCCGCGGCGGTGTCTCCGTTGCCGTGACGGTGCTCGCTGTTCTCCAGGCGACCTCCTCCCCGCCGACGGCATCCTCATCCAAGGCAACGACCTGAAGATCGACGAGAGCTCCCTGACCGGAGAGTCGGACCACGTCAAAAAGAGCACCGACAAAGATCCCATGTTGCTCTCAGGTGCTCCCCTGATTCAGGTCCTTCGTCTCAGTCCATGACGGCGTTTCGATCGCCAGTTTCGCTCACGTGAATCGAAACTGTCCCCGCCACGTACTCGGCCAGGCACTCACGTGATGGAGGGCTCGGGCAAGATGGTGGTGACGGCGGTGGGCGTCAACTCTCAGACGGGCATCATCTTTGCGCTGCTCGGCGCCGGCGAGGAAGGCGGCGACGGAGACGACGACAAGGCCGAGAAGGAAAAGAAGAGGAAGCGGAAGGAAGAGCGCAAGAAGAGGGAGAGAAAGGAGAAGAAAAGTACGGGTGCGGAGTCCCCTCGCGGTTCGTTGCGTTTCGTAAGGCCGCGGCTCACGGCCCCGTCTTCTTTCACAGGTAAAAAGGAGGAAATAGGCAAGATAGGTGAGCGTGACTGCAACCAGATCCAACCGCTTCCCGTCTGCTTCAAACCGGCTCTCTCTGCTTCCGCCCTGCTTCTAAGTTCGAACTTGTCCTGAAGCGTCTGTCTCTCGATCCAAACGGTCTACAAATTCAAGAGAAGCTTTCGGTTGATCGACCAACCGTCCGTTATCTGAATGAAATCAATCCATCGTTGAATAGGCCAATTCACAAACTCGCTCTGTTGATGTCTGCCGCTGGCCTTGCCTTCTTGTCTCTCCATCACATGCCATTTTGATTGATCCAGCGATTGATAACCAACCAACCAACCAATCGTCCAACTCAGTCCATCGATCAGACTTTTGACCACCCAACCAATCCCGTCCTTGCTTGTCCTGCGACAAAACCACGAGATGTTTGACTGTGTACACCGCAGGCGTCAAAGTGCGGTCGTGGAGGGCCGCCGTCCCGCATGTTTTCCATGTCTCCCTGCCGCAACACACCTGATTCAAAAGATCAGGATCACTATCGGGCTCTTATAGAGCTTGCTGATCAGCTGATCATTTGGATCAGGTGTGTTGCGGCAGGGAGACATGGAAAACATGCGGGACAGCGGCCCTCCAGGACCGCACTTTGACGCCTGTGGTGTACAACGTCATGGATGTGTTTCTGGCCAGGTCTTCAGACGAGTTTTCGTTCAGGTTCCGGGGTGCTCGTGAACCACATGGCACCCGTTGACTCCCCGCCCCACCCCTCCCTCCTCCCCATGTCCCCTCCCATCTACCGAAACAGCCACACCCTTCCCCCAGCAGCAGGTGCTCCTGACTCCATTGATGGTGATTAGGAGCAAGCAGATTAGCTCGCTTAAGCTCAGCAGCTTCTTTCTTTACTGCCGACTGGCCTGCTGCTGCTGCCTTCTTCTTCTTCATGTCCACTAATAACCTGTTGGGATCAAGACACACACACACACACACACACACACATACACACACACATACACACCAACTTTTGCTGTCACCCCTGGTTAGCCCGTGTTCAAATAGCCCGGGCCACCTTTTTAGAAATGTGTCTACAAAAACACACCGAACTGCAGTGTTTCCACTATTTTGGTCCTTTCGTGTGGCCGAGTGACTAAAACATCCGCATCCTCCATCAGTTCCGTATGAAACCCGAATAAGCGAGGCGCTTAAATTTCATCCGAGCACAATGCGGTGTTTTCCCGGCAGGGAAGAGCAAAGATGGCGCGGCCGTGGAGATGGAGCCGCTCAACGACGACGCGGAGCCAGAGAAGAAGAAAAGCAACCTGAGGAAGAAGGAGAAGTCAGTCCTTCAAGGGAAGCTGACCAAGCTGGCGGTGCAGATCGGCAAAGCAGGTACAGATTGCTCGGTCGAAAACACCACAATCAGGTTGGAAGGCGGACATTTTCGGGCCTCTGAAATGGCAAAGTGACTCAGTAGCACCCCTTGGAAGGCTTGAAAAATGCCACCTACAGAGCCAGTTTCCCGGAGTAACATGAAATGTGGTTGTCTTGTCTATCGTAAGTCTGAGGCCATGCTCGAAAAGAAACGGGAAGTCAAACATTTTGGGTTGAAACAGCCATTGAAGGTTCAAAAAACTGTTGGCTTCAAAGTATGCGCTGCCGTTTTGAGAAATTCAGCCTACGGGGCACTTTCACTTCACAACGCGAAATGAGGGGGACATGGCTGTCATGGGTAGAGCCACAAGTAAGTACCAAGAGACCAGTCCTTGAAATCTGCCATCTGAGCACTTCCGGGGGCCCTTCAAAGAGGTTTTGAAGATTCAGCCCCTGAAGCCAGTTTCACCGAGCAGCTTCCCATTTGCGAGAGAGGCACATGATGAGAGGACCCTCGGACCGGTCTCGAGAAGCCGTGCCCTCAATGGCTCAGGAAGTCTGCCATTTGGGCTCGGGGTTGCCATTTTAGGGTCCGTTCCAAGAATCCTTCCGAGACAAACAGCCAAGAATCGTTTTGAAAATTCAGACACTAAAACCGCTTTCACTCTGCAACCTTGGTAAGCAGGTCGGGGATAGCGTGAGTGGAGCCACAAAAAAGACAAAGTCGAGTTTGAAGACTCTTTCACACCTTTTCCATTGCCAGGCCTCTTCATGTCCACGCTGACCGTCATCATCCTCATCGTTCGCTTCCTGGTGGACACCTTCTGCATTCAGGGAATTCCCTGGACTGCCGAGTGCGTGCCCATCTACATGAAGTTCCTGGTCAAGTTCTTCATCATCGGTGTGACCGTGCTGGTGGTAGCTGTGCCCGAAGGTCTTCCTCTGGCCGTCACCATCTCCCTGGCCTACTCCGTCAAGGTTTCTCACCTTCCTTCTTCATAGCCTACACAAGGAGAGGAAAGTCTATTTCTATTCCGTCCTAATCTCTCTTTTGGCCGCAAAAAAAAAACAAAAAAAAACCAGAAAGGTTTCATTCCAATGCCTTGTTTTGCCGTGACGACAATGGAGTTCCTCTGGGAAATATTTGAGGTCCCTTTGTTTTCTTTTTAGAAAATGATGAAGGACAACAACCTGGTGCGCCACCTGGACGCCTGCGAGACGATGGGCAACGCCACCGCCATCTGCTCCGACAAGACCGGCACGCTGACCATGAACCGCATGACAGTGGTCCAAGCCTACGTGGCAGGCTGCTACCACAAGAAAGTGCCCGAGCCCGGCCTGGTACCCGCCAAGATCTTAGACCTGCTGGTTCTTGGGATTGGGGTCAACTGCGCCTACACCACCAAGATTATGGTGAGATCTTAAAAATAGGCTTTCCGTTCAGGACCTTTGAGCTCAGTTGGATGGATGCCGCCCGAGTGCAAAGAGACGCCGAACTAGGATCCAGGTCCAGAGTCTTCGTGCGCTGCTGTGAGGCCATGCTGATGCCGGGCTATGATGTCGTGCTATTAATTCGTGCTCAGTTGTCACGCTTCGATGTCTTGTTACGATGCTATGCTAAGATGATGTCATGCTAGGATGCTACGCCAAGAGATCATGCCATGATACCCCGATGTCAACCTTTGATCGAACGCCAAAAGAGACGTCACGCTCTGATGTCACTGTGTGTAGCGCGCTATGATGTCGTACGCGGATAGCACGCTGCACAACAACGAAGGTGTCACGCGACGATACCAGGCCAACGCGTTGCGCGCTGAGTGACAAAGACTGGACCACTTGCTGGAAAAGGGGGTCACCTACTTCTTGAGTTTATTCTGAATTCTTTATTTCCTGCAGCCCCCCGACAAGGAGGGCGGTCTCCCTCGCCAGGTGGGCAACAAGACAGAATGTGCCTTACTGGGACTGAGTTTGGACCTGCGACGGGACTACCAGAGTGTTCGCAACGACATCCCCGAGGAGAAGCTCTTCAAGGTGTACACCTTCAACTCGGTCCGGAAGTCCATGAGCACCGTGCTCCGGAACCACGATGGCAGCTACCGCATGTTTAGCAAAGGAGCCTCCGAGATCCTGCTCAGGAAGTAGGTCCCCCGTGCGACCCCAGGAAAGGGCAGATACTGAGTGCCAATTGGCTTACGGGCGGGCGCATGTGTGATGTGACCGAGCAAGACTGCAAGGCTCAATTTCGAGCCTGCTTAATCCAAACCATGACCTGACTGGACTCGACTTGCGCCACGGTACCTCGGGACTCGCTTGAAACTTGACGGTCTTGAGAGCGACTTGCACCCTGCTCCGCCCCGACATCCCCGTGACCGCCTGCGCCGTCCTCGCAGGTGCTGCAAGATCCTGACGGAGAACGGCGTCGCCAAAGCCTTCAAGCCTCGCGACCGGGAGAAATTGATGAAGACGGTTATCGAGCCCATGGCGTCCGAGGGCCTGAGGACCATCTGCCTGGCCTATCGGGACTTTGGCGCCGCCGACCAGCCCGACTGGGACGACGAGGCCGACGTCCTCACTGGACTCACCTGCATTGCCGTGGTCGGCATCGAGGATCCTGTCAGACCTGAGGTACCTGGGAGAGAACTTGGCTGCTTTTCTCAGTTTTACGATCAGCGCTGCAGCAGGGAGCAAACGGCGGAGGCCGATCACGGCTGACCGAGTCATCCTGGTGAGCCGGCCTCACTCCGGTGCTCGTGTCCCCCCAGGCCAGGTTCTGATTTTTCACTCCAAAGGCAGTCCTAAAAGTTGAAGGAACTGCTTTATAGGCAGATGTTTAGCTGCCCCCTTCCACGACCGCCAGCATCTAAGTCACGGTTTTTGCTTGGTAGGTTTGTTGATGCACAAAGCTTTTGTTTGTGGGCAAAGCAGCTTTTTGTGTTCCACTGCTGATTACCAGAGGACGGAAATCGCGTTTTTCTGCTTGGGTAGATTTGATGTGAAAATATGTGGTGACATCTATTTGCGCCGAAGAGTCTTGAGGGATCGTCCTGTGACGTCATCAGGTGCCGGACGCCATCAGGAAGTGCCAGCGCGCGGGCATTACGGTGCGCATGGTGACGGGAGACAACATCAACACGGCGCGCGCCATCGCCAGCAAGTGCGGCATCCTCCAGCCCGGGGGCGACTTCCTGTGCCTGGAGGGGAAAGAGTTCAACAGACGCATACGCAACCAGCTGGGCGAGGTCCGTATCCGAGCCGTCCGTCCATGCCAGGGAAGTCCGTCCACTTTTGCTGTCGTTGTCGCAGATCGAGCAGGAGCGAATTGACAAGATCTGGCCCAAACTGCGAGTCCTGGCCCGTTCGTCGCCGACTGACAAGCACACCCTCGTCAAAGGTCAGGAAAAAAAGAAGGCCGCTAGCCTTTGTGGCTCTTTTGGACTTGAAGTGACGCGCATGCAGAAAAAAAAAAAAAAAAAGGGGCTTTGTCATCCGTGGTGTGACATGACCCCTTCTTGTGACCTTGTCCAAGTGGAGTGGACCCACGATCAATTCCCCTTCCCCCCTAAAAGCTGGGGAAAAAAAAGATGAAAACGTTTCCTTGAACACAGTGGACCACCGCATATGCGGATTCACCTGTCGGCAGATTTTTTTTTTCCCACCACATCTTTCTTTTTCAGGCATTATCGACAGCTCGGTGCTGGAGCAGAGGCAAGTCGTGGCGGTAACCGGAGACGGCACCAACGACGGGCCCGCCCTCAAGAAGGCCGACGTCGGCTTCGCCATGGTAACCGATGACGGTCGTCCGAAACACGCAAAAGCGCTTTCACCGCTTGACGACTAAAAGACGAAGTGAAGCGGAATCAAAGAAACGCGAGGGAAAGAGAAGTCGCTTAACCGAAACGAGGCCGACGTGTCGCTTGCGTGGCAGGGCATCGCCGGGACGGACGTGGCCAAGGAGGCGTCGGACATCATCCTGACCGACGACAACTTCAGCAGCATCGTCAAGGCGGTGATGTGGGGCCGCAACGTCTACGACAGCATCTCCAAGTTCCTGCAATTCCAGCTCACCGTCAACGTGGTGGCCGTCATCGTGGCCTTCACCGGCGCCTGCGTCACGCAGGTGGGACGACGAGGACGGCGGCGGCGCCCGCCCGCTCCGTCCTCCGTCATCTCACGCCGTCCGCCTCCCCTTCCCGCCTCCTCGCAGGACTCGCCCCTGAAGGCGGTGCAGATGCTGTGGGTCAACCTGATCATGGACACCTTTGCCTCGCTGGCGCTGGCCACCGAGCCGCCCACCGAGGCCCTGCTGCTGCGCAGCCCCTACGGACGCAGCAAGCCGCTCATCTCGCGCACCATGATGAAGAACATCCTGGGTCACGCCGTCTACCAGCTCGCCGTCATCTTTACGCTGCTTTTCGTCGGTCGGTCCCGGGCGGCACGGGCGGTTCCCCTACCCGAGTGCGTCGACGGTGCAACTTGTTTGTGCGTAGGCGAGCTGCTGCTGGACGTGGACTGCGGGCGCAACGCGCCACTGCACGCGCCGCCGTCGGAGCACTACACCATGGTGTTCAACACCTTCGTGCTGATGCAGCTCTTCAACGAGCTCAACGCGCGCAAGATCCACGGCGAGAGGAACGTCTTTGACGGCGTCCTCAACAACCCCATCTTCTGCTCCATCGTCGTCGGCACCTTCCTCATCCAGGTCAGCAAAAGGCAAAATCGAGGCGACCGCAGGTTCACCTTGGCCGGGATTCAGGAATCAAACTTGACAATGAAGAACATTGAAAAAAAATGACCCCAAAAAAATGTCAAATGAAAGAGCCTTCAATGAAATAAAAAGCTTTCAAGAACATTTCACCTCTCGACCGCTTCAGATCAAACAGCCAAAGTTTGATCAATTCTCAAGGATGAGTTTGTGAAACTATGACCCCGATTAAAAGGCCAAAAATGGCACCAAATTCCAAAGTCGAGACAAAATGACAGACTTTGCTTGAGCGCGTGGCTCCAAAATCTTTTGGGTTGGTCTCGGGCTGCTTCAGAGGCCTTCCGATTTTTTGGTGCATATTTACGCTTGGCGACAGCAACGGCATTTCACCAAACGCTCTTGCAAATAGGAGCTTGATCGAGTTCACCTGCTCGGTTGAGAACATCAACCCAAAAAAGACCACATACAGTATTTCATTTGGCCGGTAGGTGGCGCCACCGCTCAAATGAAAAATAGGTTTGTGGCCGTCTTCTTGCCCGGACTCTCATCAAACCTTTGAGTTTTTGTTGACGTCGATGCCCTCACAAAGGCCAATGGTGACAGAGGATCCTCATTTCTTCCCAAAGCAAAAGGCCGCCGTGGTCAAATGCGCCATTGTTGTGGTGGCGTTGCCTCGTTACAGGTGCTGATTGTGCAGTTTGGCGGCAAGCCCTTCAGCTGCGTGAGCCTGAGCGTGGAGCAGTGGCTCTGGTGCGTCTTCCTGGGCTTCGGCAGCCTCCTGTGGGGGGAGGGGAGGGCCCCCCGCC